TGAGTAGGACACATCGGTTGTATCAGGGAGTTTTGACCAATGGGAAAGAGGTTCAGAGACACGCCGCGAAGAAGGTATCTTTTGAATTTCTACCAATCACTGCAGCCGCGGACACAATTTCTACCAATCACTGCAGTCGTGGACACGGAGACAGACAGACGGACAGACGGACAGACAGACGGACAGACAATTAATCCCCCCTGGGCTGGTGTAACCAGAGGTTCCTACCAGTATTAATACGCGGTGTACCAGCATCCTTGAGGATTAATTCAGCGTGTCGTGTCTCAATCCGGACAACCCATTGGCTATATATCATGCCATTTTGACAAATAAATCGCAGTTTCATTGGTCTAAGCCAATCATATCGCGCCAATTATGTCCATTTAAGTGCGAAATGGAAATTCATGTTAAGTGCTGTCACATCGCTAGACGTTATACTTGATTAAAGTAAAAAAAATGCGATAAAGTACGACTACGCACTTGACTGAAATTCACGCAACTTTCCGATTAGGTGCGAATATGAGAGCGCGCGACGACTGCAGCAAGCGACGACGCGTTGGCCCGGAAAAGTCTGCGCACCGCAGCGCAGCGATGGTCGCGCGTTGACTTATGTCTAGGCCAACGCGCCGTCGTCGCAAATACCGGCAGCTACGCTTCGCATTCAAAAGTTTCCTACCAGCTCACCCCGCACGGGACCTGTTACCGGTACCTGCGCTGCAACCATCGCAAGATCGTGCTTGGCCATGCGTGGAGAGACTACACAGTGCCTCAAGAGGTGCAAGGACTAGGTGTGTTAAATATATTCAGTTGGATACGCCGGTGCCTGGACGCACGCAGTCTGGGGCTGGCCTCGCATCGGCTGGATCTTGGTCACAAACTGCTCTTCCAAGTACGCTTCGAGTTGCTGCCAGAGGCGGCAGCTAATGGACTTGGCCTTTAGCGTCAGCGACGGCGCGTCCGAGCCCGTTTCACAAATGCTGCGAAAGTACAAACTGCCGGGAAATTCAATTTTGCGGGCGCCGTCCATGGTGGGTTTCGCGGGCTGTTGCCACAGGCACGCAGATGAAGCTTCTTGCGGCAGCGTGCTGGGCCACGCAGGCAGACCCTGTGCGCTGGCGTTGTGCGTTGGGTGCGCTTGTTGCAAGTCCTGGATGCGGCGTTGTGCCTCGAGGTCGATGACGAGGCCAAAGATGAAGATGCTCACGATCAAACATGCCGAGACGACGATCTCTGTGAGCGGGACCATGTGGGATGCAAAGGAGGATTTGAATTCTGCTGCACTTTGTCGCAAGCCAGGACATCAGATCACAACGCCGCCAACGGCAGTCGAAGATTGAAAACGATGTAGGATTGGCCCGCCATCATTCTATTGATAGCCGGAAAGGGTGCCACGTTGGCGGCCAACAGACTCGTTCAACGCGAGCACTGCACTGATGATAGACATCATCGCAACGAGGCACGAGACAGTCGGAAGAAGCAGCTGGACAGTGCCTTGGATCTAATACACGAGCGAATTAATGATGGGTAGAGCTCTCGATAGGCTCTTGGTATCCACGCTGCATATGAAATATCCGTGATGTTGTAATGAGTGCGCGCAAATCAAACCGTCGTCGTTCATGACTTGACACTGTGAAAGAACAGCTCTTGTCGAGGACACATCGCCAACACAACACATAGCAGTAGCGATACAAGCATGAATTTTGGAGATGGAGAAATGATCTCGAGATTAGGCCTCCGTGCGGCTGCAGATGAAGACGTCCCACCCGCGAAGCTCGATGGTGACGCCGGCGGCTTTTGCTTTCGCGACATACGACTGATCTCCGTCCACGAACGATCGGCATGCGTGCGGTAGCTGAACGGACACGTCAGTGCACGTCGCAAGCGCCTTTAAAAGCGCTTGCGTAGCACCGAGGCGAAACGGGTTGTTGGTAAGATCCAGCTCGAGAGGCACGCGCGCATGCGTCTTGCGTAGCGCCTTGGCCAACGCCGATGCGCCGCGCGTGTCAATGTCGCAGTTGACGAATTGTACGCGGCGTGCACCGGCTTG